CTTAGGCCTTTGTTTATGAGGATGGGCTGCATGAGCTGTATTCTGCTTCAAACCCTAGCAATAGATTCTTGAATAGATTCTAGAGTCCAGAATACAGGCGCCCGCTGTAGGGCATCTGTATTCTGGCCTCCGGAACTGTACTGGAACCCAGTTATAAATCATAATTTATTTATATGATTACCATTTAAGGAACGTTATTCATATAAAAATGATTTAGGTGCACATAATTAGCATCTGACTCTTACGGGACAATAGGCTTTCTGGACACACTGAAAGATATCAACACTTGTGATATCCACTTATCCTGGATATCAAAATATTTGTTTGACAAAAATTACTATCTCTAGCTAAGAAATACTGGTGAGTGGGAAGCACCACTTTAGCTTGTCCTGTGTTTCTGTTGAAGGGGCCTCCAGGGGCCATGACAGTCTGCAATCATAGGGGGCCTGTGCCCCCTATCACCTGGCAGGCCTCCATTGGCCTGGAGTTCTCTGGGATTGCTTCCTACCACGCGGTGGAGGTGGTGTTGATTGATATGCTCTGTGTCCCCTGTGGAATCTGTGTGTGGGGTGCAGCTGCTTGCCGGATGACGGGCGATTGTCAAGTTCGGCTCCCCAGTGATTTAACAAGATCTCGTCACGTGCTATGATGGGCGCTCATTCACGCTTCCTGGAGATGGTGGGCTGGTGACCCTCTCTGACCGTTGTGAAGCCACAATGTATGTAGCAGTGCATGGGATGCCTTTTGAATTCCCTGAGGATCTTCTATGTCGATACTTTGGCCGGTTTGGGCGGGCCCTACATGTGGGGATGAATCCCGTCCCTACCGGGAAATTGGAAAAGGGTCCTTTGTGGGACCCGCACTCTCGCCATGCGCCTCAGGAATCCTGTACCGGCCTCCATCATGCTGTTGGGGTTCTCGATTCGAGTTTTTTATGCGAGACAGCCTCTGACATGTTTCAGGTGCGGCCTACTGGATCACCTGGCCGCGGGGTGTGAGGAGCACCGGGTCATACCTGTTAACCTCTTCCGGGAAGAGGATTTTCCCGTTGTCGCCCCGGACCTGTCTCCAAGTGCTGGACCGTGTGATGATTCCCTGCCGGCTTCTGTCTCGGTGATGAGTGGTGGTGTGGATGTTTACGTGGGGTTTGGGGCGGCCCCGCCCCCGCCGCTGTCATCCTCGCCTGCGCCGACCCTGCCCCTGCCGCCCCAGCCTGCCCAGTCTCGGCCGCCCCTGCCTGCTGCGTCCCTGCATGCGGTGTCTCCTGTCCCTTTGAATGTCCGCGGCGAGATGTCTCCTGCGGTGTGTGGTCCAGTGCCCCCGGCCGTGGAGGCTGCGGTTCTCAGGGGCCAGGCTTTGAAGGCACGTCCGCAAGAGAGTTCTGCTCGAACTACCGGCAGCCTGTCTCCAAGCGTTCGAGGAGGGTCCCGAGTGCGTCTTCCCTTAGTGGTGTGCCTTGGGAGGAGGTAAGAGTGTACGTTGATCTGGCGTCTCCCTCTGAAGTTGGTGGTGCTGTGGGGGGCTCAGTGCTACCTCCTGAGTCGCCCCTACGCTTACAGCTGTTGGCTCCCCAGGGTGGGAGGTTGCTCCTGCCGAGTGGGACCTCATCATGGTCTTAAGGAAGGATGTGCGTCAAGGTGCCTCTGCTCCTGTGCCTGGTGGCAGGGGGCCCTGATGCGTCTGTGTCCTCTGCGGGTCTCTCCAGTGTGCAGCCCTGTGAGAAGCCTCGTAAGAAGCCTCGTGTGCAGGCCAGTATGAAACCCTGTGCGCCGCCCAGCGTGGCGCCTGGAGCGTCTCCCTGTGCAGATTCCAGTGCGAAACTCCCTAGTGTGGACCTCTTCCTTGTGATCGCGGCCGACGGGGGCGTGGTCCATCAGTGACAGTGTTTGGACCTCAGTTGGGACGGCAGGGTGCGTCCGGTCTCGTGGTGCTTGTCAACTATTTGGGTACCGAGGTTAAAGGAGTTTATATATGGGGTACCTGATTGAATGCTTCGGCTTGTGCGTCTTCTGGTAGACCGGTGTCCGATGACGTCCAGCTGGTTTGGGAGGCATACAATTTGCACTTCCCAGCACAGGAGCTTCCGGACAAGTATCGATAGTGCCTGTGTTTGATTGTATGCTCCCTGTCAGTGATTTTGTTACCGTGTCTGCGGTTCTATGCATGATTTGTCTATGTGTTAGGTTTCGCCCTGTTGGGCAGTGTGCTTGTTTGTTCTGTATGCATTTTTTCGTTGTGCTGTGCTGTTTGTGTCCTGTGTTTGCTTTGTTTTTTGTAGTTTGTGTGGTTTCTAGGGCTGTTGGGTGTGTGTGCGTGTGTGTTTGGCGGGTTCTGAGTGTTCAGGTGCTTGTTTTGTTTTGTTTTTGTTTTGCATGTGTGGGTGTCATTTCTCTATGTTCTTTCCCGGTCCCTGCGCGTACCGGTTACGTATTCCTGTCTGTCTTTGTTTTTTATCCTGCTTGTGTGGCCCTTCAGGCTGGCTTGAGTATCTAGTTTTGTAATAGTTATTTTGTACCATATCATTTCTGTGTTTTTTCATGTTTCCTGTTGTATGCTTGTTTTTTTTCAGTTTTGTGTTTCTTTTCTCTGTTGTTCTCATGTGTTGTTTTGTGCTTTATGGATCACTGCTTGTGCGGGTTTGCCAGGATGTTTTTATGTGGATTTAATGTGCTTTATCAATAAAAAGAAAAAAAAAGGTCCTTACACTAGGTTGTTTAAAGCAGCAGCCATCCTCCCCTGACGCATTCATAAATTTTAACATACTGTGAATTAAACATTGGTTTGTTCTCATATATAAAGGAATATTATTATAAATAGAAATTATGTGTACAGTTAGGCGTAGGTTAGGTTAGGTTTGATATTTACATTCTGTTCTGCATATATGCACAATATATGCGGCAAGATGTCTCCTAGGCACAGGTTAGGTTAGGTTAGGTGTTATGTTCTGTTGGTGATTATTTGTATTGGTAGCACGTGGGTGAAGCATTTACAGCATTGTGGTTCTAACAAAATTCGTCACTGAAGCACTTGTTCCGAAAGTGTTCGAACGTCAGCAGTTGTGAGTCATGTGTAAACCAGTTTTCATTCATAAACAGGGGGTTTGGCGGGTGCATAGACATTAAAATTAACTACAAATGTGCATGTCCAGCTGCAAAATGTTCCATCAGCTGAGATATTCTCACATTAATTTCTGGAAATTGGAAACGGAAAAATGCCGGTTGATCTGACCTCTGCACGAATTTCATTGCCTCATAACTTTTGCAATTTCGTGACGTCAAAAGAAGAATTAGTTGAAAAAGTATTTCCCAATATTCAAACCAATTATAAGGATCACGATTGGCTTAGTGAACGAGCTATTCTTGCGGCCCATAACAAAGACGTCTACAAACTTAACAATATTATACAGTCTAACATTAAAAGCGAGGCAGTCACATACAAGTCCCTCGACATTGTTGTGGAAGCAGATGAAGTGGTTAATGATTCAACAGAATTTTTGAATTCAGTCGATCTGCTAGGGATTCCACCGCACGTACTGCAATTGAAATTCGGCGTGCCAATTATTATGTTGCGAGATATCAACCAGACAAAGCTTTGCAACGACATTCGGCTTGCAGTAAAAAAATAATCAGCAACATCGTAGAAGTAACAATCTTGATAGGACCTTTCAAAGGTGAAGATGTCCTGATTCTTCACATTCATATGATTCCAACGGATATGCCATTTCAATTTAAAAGATTGTAATTTCCAAATCGATTGGCGTTTGCAATCACCATCAACAAAGCTCAGGGCCAATCTTTTGAATTTTGCGGTTCATATCAAGACATGGATTGCTTCTCACATGGACAATTATATGTTGCGTGTTCTAGAGTCGGGAAACCAGACAATCTCTATATCTCCACAGACAATAGAACAACAAATAAGTATTGAATACCCACAAGCACCGTGAAATTAAACATATTAGAAACGTGCACTTTTTCTTTTCTTTCGTTTCCATTTAACCAGACTGAGCCACAGCAACGCGTGGCCGGGTACAGCTAGTATCTGATAAAATTCCTATTTTGAATGAACAGCATGTAAAAATTTATGAGTGCATCTTTGGGGTCGACCACTGGATGGAATAGACTTGATCTGAGGTTGGGTTGGCTCGCGGCACTGGTACTGCCTGTACCTTACATACCACTAGCCTACACGAACCACAAGGCCCTTCCCTGTCTTCTTCTCCCTCCAATTCCCACTCTCAACAGGATTTCAACATTTATATATTTCCTACATTATTATTTTTAGGAAACTAAATTTTTAATTATGTATAATATTTATTACACCTTTTTCCCATAGTGTATATGTATTGCAGCAGCGTAATACCTCTCAGGGTTTATAACACAAATCCCGTCAATAATTCTGGTTCAAGTCAGCGCGGGCAGCTCTTACCTCGCGGGGAAGCAGACAATGGAACATGAGAGCGGGAGATTCAAGTTTAAAAATAATTTACTTTTAAAAAATAAAAAATAATTTAAATTTAATTAGAGCACGAAAATGACAGTTACACACCCTGCCTTACAGTGAGCGGTGCCTTGTTTAAAGGTCTTTTTACACTTCTTATGTCCTTGGGGCTATAACGAAGGCTTGTTCGATAAGTAGCATCTGATACCGTAGAGAATGGATGTTGACATTAGGCTTCAGTGTTACAGCAGCCATTATCTAAGTGTGCCACATCCACGAAACACTGCCTCAGTCACTTCCTGCTTCTCTCTGATACTCTGAATAAGGAGGGGTGGGTTATATCCACTTGTTGTAAGTCAACCATTGTATTTATTTTATAACTTTCCTTAAGTTTATTGGCCTTAAGCACAACACCAATCAAATGAACACTGAGAAATAAAGTGGTTTATTTGAGTTTATGAAGTGAACCACATGTATAACAGTTTACAATAATGGTGAACTTGATTTAGTTTACAGTGAACTAACTTTCCATTTCATAACTTATTCTCCTCCACCCCCAGAACGGTGATTACGAGGATGACCGCCAGAACTATCAGCAGAACGAGGTCGCCTGCGATTATAACGCCGCCTACAGTGGTGCCCTTGCTGCCTTGGTCGAGCTTAGTTAGGACTGCTATTAAGTTTCTTGCTGAACAGCTCAAGAAAGTGACTCTGAGTTCTGTTATTTCAATTATTCTTTTGTGTACCTCTCTCTGCTTCACCCTTCATTCTCTTTTTCTCAGACTTTCATCACTTCTTTACATACACTCAAACATAATTCTTACCTGCAAAATTAATAAATACTGGCAGAGAATATTTGTTTAATTTATCATCATAATTATTGAATGATATTGTATGTTCTATGTTTCCACGGATCCAGAAGAAACGTCACAGTTAATATACTCTTGAATTTATCTCATTCCAATATTTAGGTAAATTATATTATGAGCTCTGTTGAATATACTCACCGAAGACAGTGATGCTCCCACCCTCATCAACACACCCTTGATGAAGAGGACAGTTCGTGCGCTGTGGTCTACAATGTCTTATAAAGAGTCGATATATATTTAGATTTTGTTCCTATAATCTTAAGTGATTCACAGAAATCATTACAGTTGTGACTGGAGTGAAGAGGTGAATAGCAGCAAAAAACTTAAATTAGGGATACTTGTTTTGGTTAAACAAATAATATAAGTTTAGACCGAGGAGAAAACAATTCTAAAGATAATGTAACTAATTATATCATGAAGTTAAAGATTTGCAGTCCTTTAGTATTTTGCACCAACAAATTCAGAGACTTGCATAGACCAAAATTACTCTGAACACAAAGGTTGTTCTTTTCACCTGGGCTCCAGGAGACTCGAACCGCGGACCCCAGGTGTGTGAAGCCAAAGTTCACAAAGATCATGTACCACACATCTTATTATATTAGAATTTAAAATTCTAACCAACAAACCATATCTTTAGGACAGTAATTTCTTAACAATTCCAGGTATCCAGCGAGAAGTATCCTTGCTTTCTTTGCAGACAATTTGTTGTATTATATAATGTAGACCTGCTTTATCATTATATCAGTCCATTGTCCTAAAATGAAAGTACTTAGAATATTATGTGGTCGAAAGAATAATTATGTCGTGGAGACCACTAAAAAGTAAATTGTTATATTATTGAATTTGGATAAATCAAAAAGCTTTTATATATATATGTTGCTAATAAAACATAACCAAACCTAACCAGCTAGGCCTCAGGTACTCTATGAAGCGCAAAACACTACTTGTAAATGTTATATATGTACTTTAAGTTTGGTTTTTAGTTTTAGTTTTTTCTGTACTATAAAGTTCAAACAGTAGCCTACTGGGGCACCATTACTGCATATTGGTAAGATCGAACACATAGTTACAAAAAAATACTATCAAAACAGGATGATGAGTTCCATTAGACATCACTGAATATTTAGATGCATTTCCAAAAATTAAGTCTGTATTTTCGACAAAGTTTCAGAGGAATATTGTGTGAGATATTGCAATGATTAACTTTAATATTGCAATGGTTAACTCCGTTATTTGGTATTCAACGTTCATCAAGTTGGGTATCAACAGACTCGGCACATCGAGGGGTATCTCACGATGTCATTGGATATGACCTAAGACATCTGGATGTACTGCAATGGATAATGCCGGGGTCTGGTACGAGGAGTCAGGTACTCCCTCCCCAGGGGTAGAAATTTTAGAGTGAAGTGTGGTGTGTGTGTGTGTGGGGGGGGGGGGGGGGGGGGGTTCAAGACTGGCCTCCCCAAACCAAATGTCATTGGATCTGTGACTGCAATCCCCCCCCCCCACCCCTTCCCCCTCGGTGACTAGTTTGTCACAAGCACTACTTCAAAGCCTTTTATCCTCTCCTCAAAAATATATTGGCAATATTGGAGTTGATTTGAAGCAGCGTTTGGAATTGACACGGCTGGGGCATCAAATCTGTGTGGACTTCATCCTTCACTTTACACCTTGATGAAGAAAGATATCCCAGTTATGTTTCTTATCAAATGCATGTTACTTGTTGCACTTAACCTGTTCTCACGCATCTGACAAATTACCCTCCAACATCGACTTCATGATAACAGAAAGCTACAGCTGGTTCCACAAAACTTCATTCTAGTGAGAAAAAAAAAGATGCGGATCAATCATTCACACTGACTTGGAATGCTGTGAAGAATCGTGCATTCTGTTTATGCAAAACTTCATGTTAATTTGAGCTTCATTTCCCATTATCTGCCTCTGGAGACAGTGGACTTGAGCTACGAATATTCTTCACCTTTGGCCATTATCAGAAAAAAATACATTAATATGGCCCAGGAAAAGCTTCAAAGTGTTCAACAAAGATGCCATAATTTTATAATGAGAGCTTGCAAAGATCTTCCTATATTGCATTGCTACTATTGCTGAAATGTTAAAAAAGGTGACGAACTAGTCACTATCGTATACACTAGTCGGGCGCCTGACAGCTGGGTGGACAGCCCTTCGGATTCGTAGTCCTGAGGGTCCAGGTTCGATCCCCTGTGGAGGCGGAGACAAATGAGCAAAATGTTTGTTTTCGCCCTGATGCCCCTATTACCTAGCAGTAAATTGGTGCTAACCTGCGAGTTAGACAGCTGCTACTCGCTGCTTCCTTGGGGGGAAGGGGCGAAACAAATAGAAGGCCTGGTCGAGGACCGGGCCGCGGGGACGCTAAGCCCCGAAATCATCTCAAGATAACCTCAAGATGTGCAGCCTTAGCTGCACACGGCCACCATTTTCAGAACTTCCATTAGTTCTAGCTGACAACTTTAACCTCAGTGAAATTGAAAACCAGTGGCGTCTACTGTTAACCACTGACTCGTCCAACATTTGTGAGGGACAAATTTTAGCATCTGAATCGTCATCTTAGACCAGAGCAATAATACCTGTCAAGAACTCTGTGGAGAGCCCATGCTGGTTGTGAGATTTTTTTTCTTTGACAATTATCAAAAGAATTAAGTCCTATTGATGTTACGTTAATCGTAACTACCTCGCAAGAGAGGCAGACCTTAAACAGCAAGAGCTGCCAGTGGCAGATATTTAATCTTAAAGCCTAAGATCATAGGACCGCGGGAACAAACCGCCAGGCGAAACCACATGGGTAACACCTGTCACTTAACACCTGTCACACCTGTCGCTGGCTCCTCCTAGTTAACAACTAATAAAGGGTAGCCGACGGATTCTCACTTCTTATTTATAGAAGTGTGGTGCTGTGCAATGGACTCGAGCTTTAGATACAGACTTAATATGAACATAAGCAGGCAAAGCGTTGCAGAACATAAAATGTGGGGCAGTAATATTGGAAGGTTTGACGTAAACGACCGTTTTCTATAACAAACAATTTATTCAATTTACATCAAACAATTTACATCAACACCTGGTGAATTCACTAAGTGGCGGTTACTAATTATCTTTAATTAGCTACGAGTGCTTAATCACTCTGTCCGCAGACAGATCTGATCAGTCCAACGAATTACAGCAGCTTAATTACAGCACAATTGACTCCGATCATAACAGACCGTCAACCCCTTACGTTAATCAATCAATTAACGACAGCTGGTTAAATCGTTAACACTACGTTAATCTTCACTTGACAATTCCTCCACTGCGTGAACTTCACTGTGACTGTTGCCTTTACACGTCTCTATGTTAATCACAACAATGTTCAACGAACAAGTGACCTCGTTAAGTAAATCGTGACCCCCGGTGACGTTAACTGACTTTAATTCTCACGGAATCCTTCACAGTACACAACGCCTTCCACTAAGGACAAACTTGTCTACGGTTTACACACGGTACAACACAGTACATCCTTGCCACTCACGGCAAAACTTGTAAATGACTTGCCCCAGTACATTATCCACCAATAATTCACACTTTACCACAACACAACAGTAAAATTTATAACCAAGGGAAACCTCCCTGTTACCACTTTCACTGCTGAAAAAGGGAATCAAATTACAGTAATACATACGTGGCCAATAGAAAAAATAGAAGCAAATAACTCACTTTACTCCACCTCTGAATGTGTCACTAGGTGTCCTCACACACGTCAAAAATCACAGTTGGGCCCAACCTCAACTTGATGATGGCAAACAGGGTAGACTCACACGTCTCCAATTCCCATACACTTACCAGGTGGTCACAGGGACAGAGGACAGATGGAACACTGGGGGCGAACCCAGCTTCAGAGTTTTATTACCCAAACGGAAACAGTGTACTTACATCAATCAGCGGGCCCGCAAGACTCCCTTTCACTCAACACCCGTCAACCTCACACTCCCACTGCTGCTGCTGGATGATGACGTAGGCATCCTCACTTCCTACACGTAGTCAGGTGGAGCACAGGGTCCTAGACCACGGGGTTAGCTCCACACACAGAGACCAGGGTGGCGTGACACACCGGCTTAGGCAGACCAGGGTGCGCGCACAACAGCAGGGATGCGGTACCACACCCATCCACTTGACACGGTACCCCAGGATACGACGGTACACGGTGTTACACGGTACACGAGACCCGAGACGGAGTCCTTCACTACTCATTTGTTTTACTCAGCATTTGAACTTTTAAGGTTTCTCTCATAACACTGAAACCTTCTCTAGCATGTCTCACTGCAGTACCTTCAAGCACAGATACGATAGACGGCGGATGTCACTTTCGTAGTCCGATAATTAACGCCTCACTCAGTCCAGTTGCTCTAAGATGGCGTCCCACAATTACGTGGCTAGATGACAAGTTCACACGGTTCGGTACAAGCACCTTTCCGACTACCGGATTCTTACGCACGGCACACGGAAAGATAGCAAGATGATAGGCGTGACTTTAGTAACGTTGCAGGCGGTATTTCCCGATGCTTGGCCTAGCAAGGGAAATTACCTCCTCTGACAGCAACGCTCTAGGTAAGAATGTCTTTTCCCGCCAAGTCTGCCTCTGAGGTACTATGCTGTACCCCTCAGTGTCTTGGCCAATCACGGTTCAGCATTCCTGAGGCCCAGGAGCCTTGGCCAATGGCGTACCTGCCTCATGACACTACCCCCTCTCTCACGAGGTGGACACGTGATAGGGGGGGGGGGGGATGGTCTACGGCCGTTAACCCCCCATACCTCCCTCTCTACACTTGACGTACAAAATTTCCCTGAAATCAACTCCCTTCTGTAATTTCCTTCACAGACCTGATACAGCAATCAGAATGACATCAATGGCTAGCAAATGTCATGGGATGTCCAACGACACCCAAAACGACTGTGGAAAAGTTATATTCAG